ACTGGAGATGGTGGAACATGTCTATAACTCCAGCACTTCCAAAGAAGCAGGAGGATCAGGGTCATTCTGAACACTACACAATATGTTTGGGGCCAGCCTAAACTACAAGAGACCCTGTCTCAAAAAATTATTTGTAGCTAGGAGGTGGTGGCACAAATTTTAATCCCAGCACTTGGATGGCAGAGGCAGATGGCTCTCTTGTGAGTTCAAGGCCAGCCTAGTCTCCAGAGCTAGTTTCAAGATAGCCAAGACTACACAGAGAAATGCTGTCTTGAAAAACCAAAATAATAATAATAACAACAGCAACAACAACAATAATAATGTGGTGGTTTGAAAAAAAATGGCCCCCAAAGAGAGTGGCACTATTAGGAGGCGTGGCCTTATTGGAATAGGTGTGGCCTTATTGAAGAAAGTGTGTCACTGTGGATGCAGGCTTGGAGGTCTCATATATGCTCAAGCCATGCCCAGTGAGACAGACCACTTCCTATTGCCTCTGAGTTAGTACCTCTCAAGCACCATGTCTGCCTGCATTCCACCATGATGATATGGACTAAACCTCTGAACTGTAGGTGAGTCACCACAGTTAAATGTTTTCTTTTTTGTTGTTGTTGCTTTTGTAAGAGTTGCCATGAAAGTGGTATTTCTTCACAACAATTGAAATCCTAGAACTAACAACAACAACAATAATAATAATAAATTAAATTAACTAAAATAGGGTTTTATCTGCTCTTGCTGTACTATAGATAGCTTGATTGGTGAGTCAACCACCCATGGCTACCAGCTACACTAAGATTATATATTTTTTTTTAGCTTTCTGCACAAGAAAAATGAAAAGGTTCATAAATAAAATCTTAACATTAAAAAATGTATTTCAGCTGGGCATTGTGGCACATGCCTTTAATCCCAGCACTTGGAAGGCACAGGCAGGCACATCTCTCTGAGTTAGTTCAAAACTAGCTTCGTCTACAAAGTGAGTTCCAGAACAGGCAAAGCTACACTGAGAGAGCCTATCTCAAAATAAGACAATAACCAAAACAAAACAAAAGTATTGCGATCATTGATGATAGTAGGAGCATGGGAAGAAATTCCAGGGAAAGAGACAGAGACAGCCTAAGTCAAGATCAAAAAGTGAGGAGGGTGACCCCAGAGGGAGGTTGTTTTGGTTGTTTGAGACAAGGGTTCCATACATAGTCCAGGCTGGCCTTGAACATGCCAAATAACCCAGGTTCACTGGACTGCAGCCTTAGTCTCCTGCATGTTGGGATCATACGCATGTACCACCAGGCTCTGCTTATTCTTATTTTAAAAAGGATGTCACTGTGCCACTCAGGTTAGCTCTGACTCTACACCCAAGGGAGTCCTCTGCCTTAGCCTCCAGGACAGCTGAGAACCCAGGTGGGTGCCATAGCACCCTGCACAAGCTCCCACAGATAAACAGTGACCAGCAATGCTCATGAGGCACTAGACACCAAAGGCCACTGGAGAGTTACAACTCATCGTCACTGATGAGGCCACAGGTTACAACCTCCCCACCCCATCCCTTACGCACCTGCTCCAGCACCTGGCACAGGGTAAACACTCAGTGACCATTTGCTGAGTGAATGGAGCCGACACTTCTGACCTCAGTGCCTATTGAACAGTCACACACAGCAAGCCTCGAGGTGTCCACTTGGTATACAGAATCTCACCTAAACCACACAGCAACCTCTTGAGAGCTAAGTGGAGAACACTTTGGGTGAAGCCTGGGGATCTGATATTGAGTTTTTAGGAAATTCTAAAGATCAGCCAGGTTTGGAGATGACTCACTGGATAGTTTGGTAGATGAATAAACTGAAGTCTAGCAAACAGCAGTGATATGTTCAAGGTCACATGGCTAGGTAGAACCATGACACAAATGTAGATTTCTCAGCAAAACATCTTTACCAAAGGTCTAGCCCACTTTAGAAAACAGAGGTCAAGGGGCACAGCAGGGGTCTGAGAATTGAAGCTGTTGTCATTTTAAAAAGGCAGTGAGCAAGAGGGGGGGGAGCAGAGTGAGGGGGGAGGTCATGTGACAGAGTTCAAGTGGGAGGGAGGTCACGTGACAGAGTTCAAGTGGAGGGTTCTTTTTAATTAGGGGAAAGGATCAGAAAAAGGGGAAAGGGAAGTGGACAGACAGGCCTCTAGGGACAGGAGCAGTAGGAGACAGGAAAGAGAGGCAGAGAAAGTGAAGGGGAGTGGAGGTGGGCAGGGCCTTTTAAAAGGGAACATAGTGAATGTGCACAGGTGGTGCTCTTAGTGGCTGCATGTGACGGAGTGTCCTGTCAGAACCCCAAGGACGGGCCAGTACAGATGCCTGAATACCAAGGGACGCCAAGGAGAAGAGTCATCCTGCTAAAGCCGCAGACACTATGGAGGATGTGGAATGAGGGAGAAGTGGGGACGGTGACCCACAACTCCATGGGCCTGAGTGCTGACAGGAAGAAGAAGACACAGCCCTGGCACAGCCAAAGTACTCCCTCAGGAAATCTGGCCAGCTGGAAGGAGCTATGGATGGAGCTTGCCAAGATAACTTCCCGCATGACAGTCAGGCCAAAGCCCTGGCCTAGAGCAGGACGCCCAGAAAGGGAGGCAGAAAATCCAGGGGCAACGTTTAAGTAAGCTGTTGATAAAGTGCAAAACGGAGTCCACCCTAAATCCCTCAAGAACGCTGCCCGTTGCTGGGTCTGAGTCCTTTGCTTCACTTTCTTCTAGCCTATGTTTATCTGTGTCTTTGGGGTACTGCTCTTATTGAAGGGTGGGAAGGAACAGTAGAATCCCAATCAGGACATCAGACGGAGCTAGTAGTCTCAAGGAACATAAAGGAAGTGAGACTGGAGCCAGGGTGCAAAGAAAGCTCTAACTGTTTCCACTCTCTGCAGTTGTGCAAGCCAGGCTGCTACCACAATCAGAGCTGGCTGTATCCTCTCCCACACAGCATCCAGGAGCCTGGACAAACTGTGATGGTTTCCTACCATCTTCACATCCTGCTCATGCCATTTGTGGTGAAAGTGAAGCAGTATCCCACCTGGAAAAAAAAAATGTTGATGATGCTGGAGAGATGTCTCAGTACTTAAGAGGACTGGCTGCTCTTCCAGAAGACCCAGTTCAATTCCCAGCACCCACAGCATGGCTCACAGCTGTCTATAATCCAGTTCCAGGTAATCTAACACCCTCTTCTGCCTCCAAGGGTACCAGAAACGTCAGTGGTGCACGTGCATACACATACATATGTTTTTAAATGCTGATGACATTTATCCAGAAGCAGATTAAGAAGTGTAATCATGTATAGAGTCAACCTTCCACCACCCCAGAGAAGCCCATCGCTTCTGACTCTGAGTTCAGTGTTCCTCAAATTACAAACCTGATCATTCGTTTTGCCCAAAATTCTCTGAAGCCAACTTAGCCCTATCATGTTTGACAAGTGACAAGAGTTTCGTAGCACTAAGAGGAATTGCGTGCACACTGAAGAAGGAATGCATGCCTATGCTTACTGGTGGCCTGGGGCTGCTCCTGAGCCTCCGTGTTACCCATAAGACAGGAATGACAGCCATCTTGAAAAAAAATGGCCAGCGGAAGGAAAACGGCATAGAAGGCCAGCACAATGACTGACTGGCAGTAACTCTTCACCAGGGTTAGTTAGCACTGTCCCAGCATCCACTTCCAGAGTCTTTCAGAGCCCAAGAGCCCAGGATAGCTTTAGCTCAGGCCTTTGGTGAATGACAGGGAAACAGGACAGCTGTGGCATAAAGCCAGGGGACATGCGCTGCAGACTCAAAAAAATCTCGTTCTCTATGTGAGGGAAGCTGGCTCGGCCAGCAGGGCTCTTCTGCCTCATTCCTGGAGTCAAATCTTTGGCTCAAAGATTAATCTCCACAGAAAAAGGTCTCTCCTGTCTAATTCAGAATGGGAGCTCAAACGCATACAAGGGTCAGAGAGACGACATACTGAATTCATAACTGTGCCTTTGGACAGTGACGGGGACTGTGGGGAAAAGCCCGCTTAAACAAAGGGCGCCTCACCTCCACCCATTGTAGTCACTCTAACTCCTGTCTTCAAAAGAGAGACTGGAGGTCAGGCACTAAAAAGTCAAAAGTCAATCCAGTGTCATTGTAGAGGAACCCTCCTGGCTAAAAACCCATTTTTGAAACGTTTTAAAATCCAATGTGTTTTTGTTGTTTTGTTTGTTTAAACCAAAGCCTGCACCCTCCTTTCTACCAGCCTGCCGTCCTGACATGCGCCATCATTGGAGGCCTAGAGATGAACCCAGCTAATTCTCAGCGCTTTGTCATTTTCCAGGCCTAGCCTTTCCCTCTCTGTAACCCTTCGCACCCTAGGGAACAACGCGGGCCCAGGCTCCTGCTCTATATGGACCAGCCCCGGGCATCTCAAGCTTTCCGGAAATCCTCCCATCTCCTGGGGTTGCACAGCCGAGGGATGCTCTCTGAAGAGGACCCACCTACCCCGCTGAGCACCAGGAGACCCCAAGTTAGGAGATAAAGGGATCCGCTCTCCGTGGGGGCGGGGGAGGGAAAACAGGGCCTCACCCTTCAGACCTCTGGGATGCGGATGGGAGTGAAGGACACCTTTCAGAAAACCTACTCTCCACGAGGGATAAAGGCAAGAGGAAGGACATGCTATGAAGCCACCGAGCGCCGAGTGCTCTCGGCTGGGAAGTCCAGGTTGTTTCTTGGCTGATTCTTGGGGCACAGGCGCTGCGGACAGGGAGGGGCTCGCACGCCCAGGTCGGTGGCGCGCAGCTGCGGTGACACTGCGCTTCCCCGCCCCCGCAGGCCCCCCTTCCCCTCCGCGCTAGACCGGGAGATGAAGCTCCGCCTCTAGCGCGTCGCCCCAGCCCCCGCGCCTTAAAAGCCCCGCACACCGCCCCGCCGCACACCGCCCCGCCGCGCCCAGCCTCGCCGCACCTTCGCGTCCTCGCTTGGTCCCGCCGCAGCCGTGCGCCCGGTCCCGACCCCGGCACCATGAGCTTCGGATCGGAGCACTACTTGTGCTCCGCCTCCTCCTACCGCAAGGTGTTCGGGGACGGCCCGCGCCTGTCCACGCGCCTCTCCGGGCCGGGAGGCTCCGGCAGCTTCCGCTCGCAGTCGCTGTCCCGCAGCAATGTGGCCTCCACGGCTGCCTGCTCCTCGGCCTCGTCTCTCGGCCTGGGCCTGGCCTACCGCCGGCTGCCCGCGTCCGACGGGCTGGACCTGAGCCAAGCGGCGGCGCGCACCAACGAGTACAAGATCATCCGCACGAACGAGAAGGAGCAGCTGCAGGGCCTCAACGACCGCTTCGCCGTGTTCATCGAGAAGGTGCACCAGCTGGAGACGCAGAACCGCGCGCTCGAGGCCGAGCTGGCGGCGCTGCGACAGCGCCACGCCGAGCCGTCGCGCGTCGGCGAGCTCTTCCAGCGCGAGCTGCGCGAGCTGCGCGCGCAGCTGGAGGAGGCGAGCTCGGCGCGCGCGCAGGCCCTGCTGGAGCGGGACGGGCTGGCCGAGGAGGTGCAGCGGCTGCGGGCGCGCTGCGAGGAGGAGAGCCGCGGGCGCGAGGGCGCCGAGCGCGCCCTGAAGGCGCAGCAGCGCGACGTGGACGGCGCCACCCTGGCCCGCCTGGACCTGGAGAAGAAGGTGGAGTCGCTGCTCGACGAGCTGGCCTTCGTGCGTCAGGTGCACGACGAAGAGGTGGCTGAGCTCCTGGCCACTCTGCAGGCGTCTTCGCAGGCCGCCGCCGAGGTGGATGTGACTGTGGCGAAGCCGGATCTGAGTTCGGCGCTCCGGGAGATCCGCGCCCAGTATGAGTCTCTGGCCGCTAAGAACCTGCAGTCGGCCGAGGAGTGGTACAAGTCCAAGTTCGCCAACCTGAACGAGCAGGCGGCGCGCAGCACCGAAGCCATCCGAGCCAGCCGAGAGGAGATCCACGAGTACCGGCGCCAGCTCCAGGCCCGTACCATTGAGATAGAGGGCCTGCGCGGGGCCAATGAGTCCCTGGAGAGGCAGATCTTGGAACTGGAGGAACGGCACAGCGCTGAGGTGGCCGGCTACCAGGTAAGGGCTGCTACGCTGCGTAGGAAAGAGTGCCCTGTCCCTGGCCGCCCATAGCTGCACCCCGTGTAAACTGGGGACCCAAGGAAACCAGGAGAGGGGAAGGGAGAAGAGAGGAGTGTTGGCTGGAGGTGTTGGCAAACAAACAAACAAATAACGGCCCCACGCACGCAGCCTCAAATGTGATTTGTATGTGTCTGGAGGCTCTGTAACCCCTTAATGCCTGCGCACTCTATTTTGGGTGATGGGGGGGAGTTTTAGGGACCGAACCCGTCTTCATGCATATGCTAGGCGTGCGCTGTAACACCGAACTACAACCGCCGCCCCCAGTCTCTCGTCTGAACTCTTCTATCAAAGAAGTCTTTAATCTTTTTGAGAGCTGAAACATCTAACCCTGTCTGTTACCAAGAGTATAAACACTAGAAGAGCAGCTCCGAACCCTCTGGCAGCCCCAAGTGCCGGTCCTTAAGTACCTGGTTTGTTTAGTTGGCTTTTAAAGGGCTTTTCTGGGCCTTAGAATTTATATTTATAGAGTATGGTCTGCTTTACGTTTGAGAAGTGGGCTCATTTTCTTGAGTTTTTCTCTAAAAAGGAGAGCGGACATAATTTAGCTAGTGACAACTGCCTTGCCCCACCCTTACCGCCCCTCCCAAACCCGCTCGGGACACGCGCGCTCGCGCGCACATGCACGCGCGGTCCCCTTGTCCCTCTCGACAGTTCTGACAGTTCTAAGAAAGCCCGGAGAATGGTGGGGCGCTGTCCGCGGTGCTGATCTCCAGTTCCTCCGGCCTCGGAAATGTCTCCTGCTTCATTGTGTTTCCAAACTGTCCCAGTTAGGAATCTCTGGGCCTCGAGGCAATTAACTGCTTCAGTTTTGGTTTTTGGGTTTTTGTTTTTTGGTTTTTTTTTTTTTAAGTTCTACAATACAATCAGTCTTGGCTTCTGTAAAGTCAAAGTTCATCTTGTAGACAGCATCAGTGTTTGAGTCCATGGAGCACCTAACAAAAATCATTTAATCTGCTCCACAGTGTGAGGTCCCACTTGAAAGCTCCCATTACCTTAATATTTTTTCAGCCTAAGTGCATGTGGCAAATTACAGAGATGGTTTCTTTGTTATAGGTGACATTTTTTTTTTCATCTTTCCCTACTCTATAAGTTCTATGAAGGTCATGATTGGCTCTTTCTTCCCAACAAAGGCCACTGTGTCCTCAGTTTCACTGCATTGGAGATTCTAGGATTGTAACTACAAAGGGCACAGATAAAGGAGATAGGATGAATGGCGAATGTAGAAAAAATACAAAATTATGTGGTTTAAATACAAGGAACAATAAAAACCTTTTTGAATAGAACGTCTGTAATTCAGAAACATAAAATCATTTTAGCTGGAATTGAATTTTACATTTGGTAAAAATTTTTGTTTTGGGGGGGACATTACCAAAAACAGAACCAGGAAATGGCATAATATTTCAAAAGTACCATTTTAGTCAAAAGCTAAAGAATTGTTGATATGCAGGTTTTTATTCTCCATTAAGAATGACTCCCTTTCAAAAAGGGAAAAGACCTGTTTGAAATGTCTTTTTGGTTAATCTGATATTACAATATTATTGAAATAAATATTCTTGTTTTGCTACAAAATCTGTAAGTTGGGCTTTTTGGTATGTGTCCTAGGCCCTGGATGATCTGAATAAACCAATCACACTTAATTAAGGTGTCTTCTCTTCCAGAAGCCTCAAATGTTGAATTAGGTAGTCTTCTTGATGACTAGCCCACTGTTTCTAGAAACAGGGTAACCTACCCCACATTGTCAGCTGAATTGGGCTATGCTCTCTATGTCCTCCTTTTGCTTGTCCTAAGAGGGGAAGATGATGTTTTCTGGCTTATTAGCTCTAAAATACAGGCTTTCTGTGTTAGAAAATAGGAGGATGAGCCAGACACAAAGGGCAGGAAAACCTGCAGGCTCTGCATCACTGTCCCTGTCTGCATTAGCTGAGGGAGTGAAGCTATTTCCTACCCCTTGGGACCTAATGCTGGGGTGAGGCTCACGGTTTGACCTGCAAACACTAAGGCCTGCCACTCCTGGTCATTTCCCAACAACCTTAATGCTGGTGGAGGTGGAGAGCCTCCTCGCTGTGAAACCATTGTCTTCTGTTCCCTTTACCCATCCTCCCCTTTCACTGCAGAAGTAATGGAGGTGTTCTTTCCCTTCTGGTTCAGAGACTCCTTTACACGAGAGGGCTTTCTGCCCTCTTGAAGACAAGAGAAAATGCCCATTAAAGTCATTTTCCCTGCCCCAGAGAGCTGATAGCCTATTTGAAGACAGAAAGCTTAATATACTTTGAAAAGGACAAAGCGTGATTCAAGGTGACACGGTAAACACAGGAAAGGAAGAACTAGGGCTGTTGTCACACAGGCCAAAGGCAGCCACGCTTTGCATAGAACAAGGCATCCCTTTCATTTCTGACAGAGGACACTGTCTAGTCCCCACAGAGGGAACTGGCTTTCAGACATGTGCTGTGGGGCATCTTAGAAATCCAGAGCTTTCCTTGAAAGACCTTGCTAAGCAGTCAAGATCACTCTGGCTAACGATCCCCAGGGAGGTAAGCCAAGGCTACCTCTAATCCACTGTGATACTGGAGCCCAGCCTGATTAAATAGCAGGCAGGGTCTGGCCCTCGGGAGACCGGAGGCGGCAGTGGCTACACATAAATCTATAGCTTGATAGGTCCATTTGTGAAATTAGGATTCAAGGAGTGGGAGCTCATCTTTTTAAAGCTGGTTCCATCTGGTCACTCCCACCCCCATCTCACCCTGTTACCATCACCTGGACCATCACAATAGTGTCTTTACAGGGATAAATTTAAGTCAGTGATCCAAACTCTGTGGCACACCAAAACCAAGGAGACTCTCAGACCACACCTGCAGAAATGGACTCAGTATTCCTTAGGTAGGGCCAAGAATATGCTTTTTATTCCATTTTGTGAGACAGTGTAGCCTAAACCGGGGTTGAACTTCAAGTCTGCTCTGTAGGCATGCCCCACCACACCCTGCTAGGAATGTGCATCTTCAGGGAAGAAGACTTGTTTCATCTGTTGTTGGTTCTCAGCCTAACTGGAGTGCACTGACCTAAACCACATTTTCTGATAAAGTACGATTTTAGAGGGTGATAGGAGACAAGGGTAAAGCAAAGGGTAAGAATAAGGGTGTGTGGTGACTGTGGGTGTCCACCCTTGACCCTGCTCAGCTGTAGTTCTGTGTGGCCTGCACTCTGCTTCCCTGGCTGAGGTCTCCCACTTCCACCCCGGGAGTGAGGAAATTGCCACACTGATGCCCCTCTCCTTCCCTTCAGATGCTAGTGTGGCCACGCTTCGTCTTCCTCTCCACCTGCCTCCTTCCAACCCTGGGCCAGATGCTTAGCTGCTCCAGGAGAGACCCCAGCTGCAGCAGGCAGGGCCTCCTCTCTCCAGTTCCCGAGCTAAGCCTGCAGCAGCTGCATGGTTGGGGGAGGGAGGGACTGCAGCACTCTGCTCACTCCCCGCTGGAGGCCATCTTTGGAGGCCTTGTGAAGGGCAGCAAGACAGCCCAGTGTGGGGAGGCGTGTACAAACAAAGAGACCAGAGCAGGGGGAGCCGTCGGTGATGGTGGTCGGCAGTTCGGCCAGCTCCTTCTGGAAGGAGCTGGGTTACACTTTTTGTCCTCTCTGGTCCATAAAGTAGCCATGTGAGATGTTTAACACACCAGTGGAAGAACCCCTCACCTGTCTAGAACTCAGCTCCCCAGAAGCCTCTTGTTCCGAAAACAGCTGTGAAATAAAAGTGGTTTTTAATCAACGCTCAAATTAACCTGCTGAGGAGACCAAGCATTTATTATCTAAACCACACATAGGGAAGTTGGCCTACTGATACCCTCAGCCTAACAATTCTTAACATGACTCTCAAAAGAAACAGTTCCTTATTTGGGTTTCACGTCTGCAGAAGGATAAAGATGGGAGAGCACTAGAGTCAGGCATGGTCAAGAACACTTCTCAGGACAAAGAAAGACAATAAACTGCAACATCAAGACAAACACTGCTGTTTGGAACCACGTAGGGTAGACATAAACACCCCAAATATGTCTAAAAGATAAGACATGAAATCATAGAAAAATAACATCATTTTCATGACCTATGATTGCTGAGAAAGATTGTATTAGTTTTGTGTCCTAATAAGAAGCGGTTTTGCCACTTTAAAATGCGTTTATGTAAATTATCATTTTGAGTGGCAGGTCAAGGCATTAACACCAAGCCTGACAGCCTGAGTTACTGCCCAGACTGCACATTCATCCCCAGGACCTACCCGGCAGGAAGACAGAACCAACTCCTACAACTTGATGTCTGGTTCCACATATCCCAAGTGACATATGCATGCCCACACACATAAACAAGTCAACAAACAAATAGATGTACAAAAATTCAAAACTGTCATTTTCTTAAAAAAGCTGGTGCTTTGAGGGACATGCAGTCTCTAACATTAAGTTTGTATGATGTACAGGGCTGGAGAGATGGCCCCGTGGTTAAAGTGTGCTGCTCAGGTCCCAGCACCTGCATCAGGTGACTCACTACTGCTTGTAACCTTAGCTCCTGAATATCTATCACAGACGTACACACATACATACACATATGCACACAGTCAAGGAAGGATCCATGAAACCTTGTGTCCCTTGACAGACGTTCCAACCCTCAGCATGCACCTACATTTCCCAGGGACCTTAAAGGGGGAAAACTGCAAATGCTGAGCAAATGACACAGGATCTAGGCTGGACCCAGACTCTCAGTTCCTTGAGTGATTTTAATGTGGCCTCGGGGTTGAGAGCCGTCCTTGTGGAAATGTCAGTGAGCTTTTGCTACTTTGGTCTAAATATTTTGGATATGTACTTTCCAGGACAGCATTGGGCAGCTGGAGAATGACCTAAGGAACACCAAGAGCGAGATGGCACGCCACCTGCGGGAATACCAGGACTTGCTCAATGTCAAAATGGCCCTTGACATTGAGATAGCAGCTTACAGGTACACGAAAGGGCATGTTTACCTAGCAAAGCACATGCTCACTGGGAGCAATGTCACGGCACAAGTGTGGCCTGTCTCTGACCGGTGAGGGAGGATGGAGAGAGCATCACTATCCAGTCCGGGTGAGCTGACCCGGCCTCCCTCTACTGGAATATATCCTAGCTTCAGCTTGCTAGTCCCAGAGAAGTCTGCATACCTCTGTGGGCACTAGATGTGCAGGCTTCTAGAGGTTGGGACCTGTGATGGTGGCGCACACCTTCAATCCCAGCGCTGGGGAGGCAGAGGCAGGTGGATCTCTGTGAGTTTGAGGCCAGCCTGGCCTACAGAGCGAGTTCCAGGACAGCCAGGGCTGTTACAGAAAGAAACCCTATCTTCAAAACAAAACAAAAATAGGGGTTGGGGCTGAAGAGATGGCTTAGGAGTTAAGAGCACATACTGCTCTTACAGAGGACCTGAGTTTGATTCTCAGATCCCATATCAGGTAGCTCACAACTCCCTGTAACTTGCTCCATGGCAGTCAGATGCCTCTGGCCTCCCCAGGCATCTGTACTTGCTTGCACACACCACACACACACCCCTACACACACAATTAAAAATAACAAAAAAGAATCTCTCTCTCTCTGTGTCTCTCTCTCTTTTGATCCTGTCCTGGAACTAGCTCTTGTAGATCAGGCCAGGTCTTGAACTCACAGAGATCCACCTGCGTCTGCCTCCCAAGTGCTGGGATTAAAAGTGTACACTACCACCATCAGCCGGCTTTTAAAAAATGAATCTTTAAAAAATAAAAACACAGGCAGAAGCAGGTGAATCTCTGTGAGTTCGAGGCCAGTCTGGCCTACAGAGCAAGTTCCAGGACAACCAGGGCTAAGTAAGGTAAGACAGACAGTAAGGAGTTAAAGGCCAGCCTCAGCTACATATCAAAGCCAGTAAGGGCTATAGGAACCCTATCTCCAAAAACAAAAGAACAAACAAGCAACAACAAAACCCTATTAGAATGATGAGAAACGAGATAACAGAGCCACTCTGAATCTGGTGCTGTTTAGTCTAGCTTGAGTAGAGACTGGTGCCTGAAGTTGTGTCCTTTAGTGGCTGCTGTGGCTGCTTGTTCTTTTCCCTTCGTACCTTCATACACAAATCTCCAGTGTGGGATAGACTAGGCAGTTAGTTTCTGACTCCTCCGTGAACTTCTCACTTCCTTACCCCTTTACAGTGAAGGTGTTAATTAGGGAAATTACTTCTCTCCAGAGCTTTGTAGACTCTAATTGCCAAAAAATGGGTGTCTAATGTGGCCAAGGGAGGGTTGTATGAGTCCCTGCAGGAAAACAGTTTGTGAATGGGATAGGTTTCCTTTGACAGTACTTGAACAACACTGGTATGGGGGGGGGGGGTAATCCATGCATGTGCTCACCAGTCTCCAGCTCCGTGCAGTATTACTGGTCCAGCATCATGAAGAAACTGCAGTGCTCTGGAGCCTCTGAAGTGAGAGGGGACGGGAGAGTTAGGTTCTTTAAACAAAGTGATGACCTGAGTCCTGACCGAAAGCTTTTCTCTGTTGAACTTACAGGAAACTGCTGGAAGGCGAAGAAACACGATTTAGCACCAGTGGGTTAAGCATTTCCGGGCTGAACCCGCTTCCCAATCCAAGTTATCTGCTTCCTCCTAGAATCCTTAGTTCTGCAACCCCCAAAGCCTCATCCACTGTGCTGTCACTTAAAAAGGAGGAGGAGGCAGAGGAGGAAGGGGCTCCTAAGGACGCCTCTAAGAAAGCATCCAAGATAGGGGAAAGTTTTGAAGAAACGTTGGAGGAAACAGTAATATCTACAAAGAAAACCGAGAAGTCAAATATAGAAGAAACTACCATTTCAAGCCAAAAAATTTAATTCCATTGCTTTAAAAAAAGAGGTAATGCCTAAGAGGGAATGCACTTGACTTATTCTACAGCTTACTTCTGAACCACACCACCTATCACCGCTATAGAATGCCTTTAAGGCTTCAATGTCATATTTAGTACTGAATCCTTACTTTCTCCGGTAGGAAAGCCGCCTGTAGATGGGGGGCAAACTGCAGTCCTGGAGCAGTCAGAGGAGTTCTCTAAGAACACAGCTTTCTCACCCACAGCTCGGGCTTCATAGTGACAGATGACTCAGGTGCAGAGGAAGGTGCTAATTCTGGTCATCACTCGCTGTGAGCTGAAATTAAAACTTACGTTTATCCACTATACCCCCACCAGTACCCAGCTATAGAATCTTACTTAAAAACATGAAGTCACTGCCGAGAACAAATCGTTGGTCCAGACACCATTACCCCATTCCAGTCTGATAGAGCTGAGTCACAGTGATAAGTGTTTCTCTCATGGGCACATTTCTTTCTCTCCCCTCAATTCCATACTTCCTTTTCTTCCACCCAAGAGGAGGGGGAAAGGCTAGTGTAGTATTCCCTTCTAAACACATGTAGGACTTACTCCGTTTAGCACTCTCTGCTCAGTGGGTAAGAGTAGATGCATGTTGACCATTTCTGTGATTTGTGTAATGACTCATCCCTGCCCATTTCATGTCCTCTCACATCTGTAGCTTAAAAAGAGAAAGGAAGAAAGGAAGGAAGGAAGGAAGGAAGGAAGGAAGGAAGGAAGGAAGAAAATGCTAGTAATGGCAGTGATTAATTTTAAGGGTTTTCCTAAAAAGTAAAAAGGATCTCTAGATTTTAAGCTTTCAGCTTGTCCAAATCCACTTAATTGGGGGGGGGGACTACCATAAATGTTGTAGCTTTTCACTTTAACTTTAGAAGCACAGCAATAGTTATCCTATGCTGTGATTAAACCAACCTTAGACTTAGTAGCATAAGTCCAGGAGGTGAGTATGTCTCTGAGTGGGGAAGACCAAGGTCTCCTCTGTGTTGGTTTCCGCGTAGTGGTATAGAGTTAGCGTTTTCATACCCTGGCCCTAGAATCTGTAGTCCCCTTCCTATTAGTCTAGGTCCTCAAGAGGCCTTGCTTTTTAAGAGTGCTACATATAGGATATTTTATCACCAGACACAATGCTACTGCCCACAAGTGAAAAAAAATAAAATAAAAATTTCTGGTCAATCAACACCACCAGCAAATATTTTAAAAAGAAAAAAGAATCTCTTTTTCTCAGAGTCTCTCCCCAACAGCGTTGCATTACTACAGTTGGTGGGTGTCTCTCCCCTAAGGAAAGGCAGAAACATTCAGCGTTCAAGAGGGGTATGTATGCACCCCTCTCCCCCATCCAAGGAGGCAGGCTGGAAAGTCAGCTCCTCGTGCACCCAACTGGCATCCACATGCGCTGTCTGCCTCATGTGCCAAATTTGATGCAGGATTTGCCTTGCCTCTGCTCACTTCCACCAGAGCTATAGAACTGTCTTTCCCCACCCACTTCATCGCAAGCTGTGCTGATAAGGACATGATGCTTCTGCTGAACTCTCGTTCTAGCTTCACTAGTTCAAGGCACTGGAAAGACACTTTTCTTTCCCTGACCATCCCCTCCTGACCCCCCACACCTACTGTAAGACATTAGTAATCTAAGAAATTAAAAGTCATTAATCCTACCACCGTGGTTTGTGTTCTGTGGTTTCTAGTGGTTCCCTGCAGAAAGCGTCATCTGCTCACAGGTTGCCTGGCCCTGACTACCTTTTATCTTTTGATGAGTTGCCACTGATCAACTGAACTCAGAGTGAAAGGACAGTATCTATGTCTTACAAGGTGAGACAATGGTAAACACCTGTAATCCCAGCACTCAGGCTGAGGTAGGAGAATTGTGCATTTGAGGTCAGCCTAGACTACATTCTGATACCATCTCAAAGCCAGGAAAAGAGAGCTGGGAGACAGCGTGGTTGGCCAAAGCATTTGCCTTTCAAGCATGAGGACCAGAGTATGATCCCAGGATCCATATGTATGCATACACATACACAGACACATATACATATACATCCAGCATTGGTGGTGCCTGTCTTTAATCCCAGCTCTTGAGAGGTAGAGGCAGGTGGATCTCTGAGTTTGAGGCCTGCCTGGTCTACAAAGTGAGTTCTAGGACAGCCAGGGATACACAGAAAAACCCTGTTTCAGAAAAAAGAAGCCCTGAATAATTTCAAAATTAATAAATGGCACCAGGTATAGCGATCATTAGAACAATTGCCTAGACAAGTAATATGCACTTGTAACCCCAAGACTTGGGGGGCTGGCTAGCCAGCCTAGCTACTTGGTGAGCTTTAAGCCAGTGAGAGATGCTGCCTCAAACAAAAGGGTGGATACTAATGGACAACAACCAGTGTTGCTCTTTGGCCCCAACACACATACAGCCATGTGCATATACATGCACACAAACACACCAAAACACTTCGTGCAAAAAGGAGGTGTGGCTGAGCTAGTAAAGTGCTTGCTTGCATACATGAGACCTTCTGTTAAATCATCTGCCCCAGGGATGGTGGTGCATGCCTGTAATCCCAGCACTTGGGAGGTGAAGGCAGGAGGGTCTACAAGTTCAAAGCCAGTCTGTAATACATGAAATCCTGTCTCAAAAACAAGGGCTGGAGAGATGGCTCAACAGTTAAGAGCACTGGCTGATCTTCCAGAGGAGCTAGGTTCAATTTTCAGCACCCACATGGCAGCTTACAACTGTCTGTAACTCCAGTTTAGGGGACCCAAAACCTTCACATGCAGCAAAGCACCAAGTTACAGACAAACTTGGCCATGATCTAGGGTGGAAGGTCCCCTTATCTCAAACTTTTAAAAATTAAAAAAAAAAAAGCAATAATGTCAAGCTAGGGCTCTGGACCCATTTGACCATGGATTACTTCTTTATCTATTAAAATGCTAGAAAACTGTGGATGCCATTTCCCTAGTAAAAGGGAAGACAAGCAGAATTTTTCTTTTTTTCCTGTTCAGCTATTTCATATAGGGGGGACAAGCAGAATTTCTTACAGCTTTGCAAAAGGGATGTCAACTTTCCATCAGTGGGCCTGGAGGAAAGAAGGGTCACCAAACAGACACGTCTTCAAGGGGTAATAAGTCCAGAGTGCTTGAAATTTATTGTACTGCCCTGGCAAAGTGAATACAAGAGCAAAGCAATTATCTGGAAGCCAGAGTCCAAAATTAGTACAAATAGTCATGGGGATGAAGTTCTAGATTTTACCTATGAGCTCATGAAGAAGGCTGGAACCTTTGCTCCTGGCTTTAAAGGCAAACAGATTTTTTATTTTGTTTTGGTTTTTGTTTTTCGAGGCAGGGTTTCTCTGTATTGCTTTGGAGCCTGTCCTGGCACTCACTCACCAGGCTGGCCTTGAACTCACATAGATCCACCTGCCTCTGCCTTCCTCCTGAGTACTGGGACTAAAGGCTACCAATGCCCAGACATTGAAGAATTTTTTACTTGTATTTTTAAAAAACACTGGATACGTAGCTCAGGATATAGCTCACTTGCCAAGAATGTACAAGGCTCTGAAGAAAAGAAGGGAGGCAGGGAGGGAGGGAGGAAAGAAGGAAGTGGGAAAGAGGGAGGGGGAGGGAGGGGGAGGAAGGGAGGGAGGGAAGAAGTGGGAAGGAGGGAGGAAAGGAAGGAGGGTGAAGGAGGAAGGGGGAGGGACTGAGGGGGAGGAAGGGAGGGACCGAGGGGGAGGGAGGGAGGGAGGGAAGGAGGAAGAGGAAGGGAGGGAAGGAGGGAGGGAGGGAAGGAGGGAGGGGGAGGGAGGGAGAGCAACTGGAACAGAGAGTAGATTGGAAGCTTCTAGCATGAGGAAGGGAACAATGGAGAGTGACTAGTCAGTTAAAACAGGGTTTCACTTCAGATGAAAATGTTTTGAAATTAGTGAGGAGGTGGCTGCACACCATTCTAAGCAACCAAATCTGTCTTTTGGTTTTTTAAGACAGGGTCTCCCTATGTAGTACAAGCAACCTCAAGCTCAGTATCCTTCTGCCTCAACTTCCTAAGTACTGGGAATTATAGGGATATACCACCATACCTTGCTTCTGAATCATTTACTTTAAAATGAGTGGCTTAAACCCGGTGGTGCACGCCTTTAATCCCAGCACTGGGAGGCAGAGGGGCAAATCTCTATGAGTTGAAGGCCAGCCTGGTCCACATCGCTAGCTCCAGGTCTATCTCGAATACAGAAACTGATTTATTGTATTTTACATATGGATGGGGCTGGTGTGCACATGTGTGCATGTGCAGGCCTGAGTGTGATTCTTTGGTGGCTCTCCCCTTATATATGAAGACAGATTCTCACTGAACCTGGAGCTCATGCTGTGGTTGACCAACCTGGCCAGCTTGCTCCAGGATCCTGTCACTGCAAGCTGGCCATCTCCAGCCCCAGCTTTTTACTTAGGTTCTGGGAGACAGTAGCAAGCACCCACAAGCCAACTCCCCAGAAAGATTGCTTTCCGAGTTATGAAAATTTAAACTCAATTCTAAAGACCCATCAATAGGGAATTTACGGAATTATCAGGAAAAGAAAGTCACGCAAGCCCAGTTAAGCTTCTGTTCCAGCTGAGACCATAGTTACAGCCACTGTCCCCTGGGCCCGCCCCAGCAGAAGGGGTCCCTTCAAGGTAGCAGAGAGTAGACCCAGCAAGAGGATTGATTTTTAAATTAAAGCCTGGAGAGAAGCCAGAAGTCACCCTGGATGTAATAGAAGAAAATGTAACGGGCAATGTTGCCTACTTCTGAGTTCCCAACACTGTTTACAACTGTTTCTTTCAGTATAATATCAAACATCTCTGAGGTCCTGAAAAACATCTAACTGAAAGATTACACCTTTTTTCTTCTAACCAAATAAGCCCGTGCACCTTTCATTTCATTTATTTCATTAATTTCATTTCATTTAAAATGAAAATACCTGGCAGGTGGAGTTCATGAGCTGTTAAAACAGAGCACACATGTAAAATATTCTCTTCATAGAACCCGATATACTGTCTTTGTAATGTTTTCCAATTTCATATGCATATTAGATTGATGCCATCATGCATCTTGCAACTTCCAAACATCTCATGTGGATATGCCATTAAATGGGGGAAATGCTGCCGAATCCTGCTGAACAAAGGGCTGTTTTTATTGTGTTACCATGCTCCACTGAGGCCCTTAGAAGACAAAGAATGCTTGCTACACAGATCAAAGGGCTTCTCTCCTCCTCTATCGATCTCCTAGAAGATAATTTGATTGCTCCTGCATTTAATGCCCAGATCTTCCAAGCTTCCTAGGCTGAGATGGAGATCAGCTAAGCTTTATAAATCCTTTCTCACAAAACACACACAACACACACACACACACACACACACACACAGAGAGAGAGAGAGAGAGAGAGAGTGAGAGAGAGAGATTGATTTTTTTGAAGATTTATGCTTCTGTAGGGCCTCAGTGATCCCTCACAGCTCTGGATACAAAGGAAAGAAGGAATATTGGTCGTGGAAGATCCTTCTCATCTCTTTTCCTCACTGATTCATCACTGTAGCTACCAGAAGGCCACTATCTTCCCCAATGAAGCAAGTGGCCTTAGCAAAATGTTTGTGACATTGCATTCCAGCTCTCTAATGGGTTCCACTTTAGAGTGCCCAGCAGAGTGTAACCCAGGTCACAGATTAAAGGCTAGAAATCTGAAATATATCAGGAATAGGTCTAGTCTGTTGGTGATAACTGCACAGGGCAAACCCCAAAGGAGTATTTTGTTGTTGTTTGCTTGTTTAAGAACCCACACCTGAGGGTTGAAGACATGACTCGGCAGTTATGAGCACTTGCTGCTCTTACACAGGACACAGATTCAGTCTCCAGCACCCACCAAAAACAAAGGTGCACAGCCGTTCAGCTCCAGGGGGATCTGATGCCCCTTGAGGCCTCCATGGGCACCCGCAGGAACAATCGTATGCATAAACCCCGATTACAGTTTTTTTTTTTTCAAGACAGTTTCTCTGCGTAGTCCTGGCCAGCCTGGAACTCACTCTGTAGACCAGACTGGCCCCAAACTCAGAGATTGGCCTGTCTGTACCTCTGGAGTGCTGGGATTAAAGGCATGTGTCACCAAAAATATATATTTTTAAAAGAGCCTACATTCTTTTCCTCTCTTCTTTTTCCAGACAGGATCCCATAGCCCAAACTGGCCTGGAACTTGTTATTTAGCCCAGGTTCATACAGTTCCTATTAAAACAAATTTGCCTCACAGAGACTCATCTGCTATATAAACTAATAATGAGGATATAGACTGCCTATCTTTGACTTCCCAACAAAAGGACTCACACATGACATAAAGAATCCCTGGCCGGATGTGGTGGTCCATGCCCTTAATCCCAGCATCCAGGAAAAGCAGAGGTAAGTAGATCTCTGTTCAAGGCCTGCCTGGCTATCCAGCAAGTTCCAGGCCAGCCAGAGCTACATAGAGAGACTGTAAGACCCTCAGAATGAGGAGTCTCCCTGTTTCAGTCGGTACCCCCAAGAACTCAATGGCCAGCCCAGTTGATGCAACACGCAAGAGGCTTTAATGAACAGGAATTGTTTGCACAAACGGGCCCCCTCAGCACGCAGGTTAGAGATAAGCTTCATTCTCCAGGCACAAGCATTTTTTTAAAGGCAAAACCCACAAGCTTAGGGAGGGGGGGTGTGACCCTTTGTCCATTAAGTGCATGACTCTTTGAGGCCGGATGGTCTCACTGTTAGGGTCAGCAGATCTTAGGGCCTGGGGTGTGCTAATTAATCTTGTCTGGGCAAACCAGAGTTGCAGGTATCTGTTTGTTTCTTAAGGACCCTATTTACCACCTGCTGCCTCACAAGAAAGGAGGGCAGTGTGAATTCTTGGTATCCTGCTATCTTAGGGCCAGTGGTTAGCAAATTCTAAGTCACAATGGCCTTGGTCAGCTTTCTGGGTCAGATTGCCCTTCATTTTAACTATTTGGGCTCCATTTCATTTCTTTGCTAGTTTAAGTTGTTCAAGACCTGTCTCAAAACAACCTCCTTCAGGGCTAATGAAGCTTTAGCTCAATAAAAGGAGCTCCTGTGGCCCCTGGAGTGTTTATGTGACACTAGTGTACATATAAGCACAAGAATCAAGGTTAGACTTAGAATGAAAGCAGAATGCAGGAGACCCAGCCTCAGAGCCCAAGATGTTAATCCCCAGGCTGTATTTTCACCCCTCTCCTGCTTAGTGGTAAATGTAGGTAAAGCATGGCAAAGGATTCTTTATCAGTATCATGATATTAATGGACAGATCCTCTTGTTCATTATAACAATGCCATCAGGCATTGTGGTACAAATCTGTTGTAAGTACTTGGGAGATTGAAGTAGGAGGACTGTGCGCACATAGGCTGCAGTGGGAGCCCTCTCAAAATAAATAAACAAACAAATGCATACATACATAAGCTGAAGTAGGAGGATTGGCATATATGGAAGTGCTTGGCAGACTTCCCGGAGATCAATATGGCATTTCATTTGTGAAAAGTCTATTAAATCTCTGTAGGAAATGAATTCAGATTTCCCCAGTCTAGTTTTGAAGAGAAGCCAACAATCACATTCATTCGTATGCTACATTCAAAAGATAAAATGTGAGAACCTTCTCACTCTTGAGACAGGGTATCATGTATCCAGGGCTGATGTCTAACCCTCTCAAAACAAATGGGGTTGGGCTAGAGAGATGACTCTGTGGTTAAAAATGCTCACTGCAATCTTGACCACCAGAGTTTGAATGCCAGCACTCTTGTAACAATCCACACTTGTAGCAAATGCTTCTAACTTCAGCTCTGAAGGATGCAGCGCCCCCTTCTGGCTCCCACCTGTGTACAGAAGTGCACATACACACAGAGACATAATACACATACTTTGGGGAGGGTTTTGCCATTTTATTTTTGTTTTTGAGATAGGGTCCATGTAGCCCTGGTTGTCCTGAATTTACTTTGTAGATCAGGCTGAACCTAAATTCACAGAGACCCTGTTTCCACCACCCGAGCACTGGGATTATCAGCATGTACCACCTGGCTGACTTCTATCTCTATTTTAAAATCAGGATCTCAGGGGTTAGGGTGAGTCAGCAAGTGCCTGTCATTATAAGCACATGGATCTGAGTTCTGTCCCCAGCACCCACATAAGACCTACACGTGGTGGTATGTGCTTGTAATTGAATGCTCAGTAGGCAGAAACAGGGCAGCTCCTGGGGACCACCTGGATTCCTGACCCAGGTCAAATATTTTTTATTTATCATGTGTATGCATGGGAGCATACCATAGCAAACATGTGGAGGTCAGAACTATTTGTAGGAGTTGGCTCCTACATTGTGAGTTCCAGTATTGAACTCAAGTCATTAGATTAGGCTTAGCAGCAGGTGATATTACCCACTGAGCCATCTCTGGCCCATAAACCAGGATTTCTAGTATGTGATATTACACAACAAAGGGTTAAATCACCATGCTTTGATTACCTGTGTACACCTGAGATTTGGGGGCTACAGCATGAAGTTTATGTTTACAGTATGATTTGCTTGTGGGCAGGTTCTGGGGTATGAGTAGCTAGTCGCCAAAATCACAAAAGCACTAATGCATACTCGACTCCCAGTAAAGCTGTGAATACCACAGTGAACTTGTTGGCAGAGTATCATCACACTAACTTCTGAGACTTAAACACTGCCGTGTGTGACAACTAGAATAAGTCAACCAGAGACTTGTGCCTGCTCTTCCTCAGCTCCAGGAAACGTGCTTACCCTCCTTGCTGATCTTAATTTGCATCCTCAAGCTTTGATGACACTAAGAATAAAAACTTCCTGAGCCCTGCAAGCCCTTCAAGTGACTCCATGAACCACAGAACGACCTCAGAAATCCCTAAATAGATGCTGGCATCAGTTGAAGTGCGATGAATTCTACAGTTGTCTATTGTCAACAGCAGCTTAGCATAACACAGAAGCATCAAGTGTAAAGACCCTGATTAAATACCTAGGTATGGAAGTTGAATGTTAATTCAAACACCCTTTTGCTTTCCTCCCACAATATTATGGCACAAACACATATACAATAAAAAAATAAAAATTGTCAATACACTACAAAATTGGGTAAAATAAATTTTTATTAAAGGTAGAAGAGATTTACACACAATTCATAAGTTCTTTACAAAACAATTGCCAATCTAAGTCCAATTTTGTAAGTTTCTGTAAATTTTGCTGTGAAATAAAAGTCTATAAAATATTTCTTTTAGAAAGCATCAGGAAGCTAATTTAAAATTAAGTCTTCATGGAAGTAGGGTTCTCAGAGACTCTCATTCTTTATCCCAGTGATGAGGAAACAAACATTAAACACAGAATCAATTAAGCTGAGTGACTGAGAAAACAATAAGGACCCTGTAAACTGGTAATTCACCTGAAATTTTCTGCTACCTTTAGAAGCAATGGCCACACAGAGGGAACCTTATGACACTGATGTGTTCCTGTGGCACTGATATATGCAAATAAACCATCACAAAGAAGCACCTTGTATTTAAGGGATGTTGAGAGCCATATCTGCAGGAGACAGTGTCTCCACTGTCTCAGAGCTGAATCACACTGCTTTAATAGGATCTCTGTTTTTTTAACATTCAGAATAAGACAGATCGTGTAAATGGTCAGTAGTTCCTGTGCTGAGTGCACCCTGCAATTTAACAGACTGGCTTTGAATTCAAAGCAAAGCTGTTCTCCAAGAACACCCACCCAACACATGCAGTCTGGAGGGCAGAATCCTAGCTGCCAAAAGGCCAACCTACCTCAAAGATGGGAAGCAACCAGTAGCTTCCTTGTACTTGCAATCACAAGGAATTTAAAAATTCAGTGTTTTCAGTTTTTCCCCTGAGTTCTGAGTGATTTTTACATAGTCTCTAGTGTAGCAAATACATTCTATTGTTTCAAGTTGTACATACAATGCTAGGGCTCTGATGCAGAAAACAGAAGCTAGCTCTTTAACACCATAAAGTAGTGGTGGCTACATGTTTCTTGAGAATCTTTGGTGTGACGCAGACCGGCAGAAGCCTCCAGATTGTGATTCCCTCCTCATATACCCTGGTGTCTTCAAGTTATTTTCAAAGGAGAAACCACAAGACCGTAATGAAGAACTAGCAGACCATCCTGAAAAGGGAAAAGGAAACTAGTTATGTGTAATATATGAGTAAACCAAGACAGGCATTCTGTTCATAGGTTAACAGTAATGAGAAATTCTTTAATGCATAAAAAAGTACAAGATAAATGTAACTGCTTACTTACTGGCATCACCAACGACTCTCTATTGAGCTGGTTTTTTCTTTTTTTGAGACTTGCAGGGTTCTCTGCCACCTACCTGCTGCTGAAGGTGCGACCTCCTAGTTCCTCCTGTTGCTGTAATCTCTGCTCCACCAACATAGATACTAATGCTCTGGAACCATGAGCCCAACTAAACACTTTCTTCTCTAAGCTGCATGTTGCCATGGTGTTTTATCATGCCATAAAAAGTAACTAAGGCACCAGAGAAGCATAGTCTGGCAAATCTCTGTGAGTCTGAGGCTAGCCTGGTCTACATAGTGAGTTCCTGGACAGCTAGGACCACATAGAGAAACCCTGTCTCAAAAACAACAAAATACTAAAGATGATGATATAAAGAACTAAGACACCAGAGCTCTATGTCTTCATTTCTCACTCACCACTCAACTCACTACAACCCAGCCTCTGTTCCTGACAACTCCAGCAAACACACCAGGATGTTAGAAAAGGGTTTACAAATTCAAATGTTCATAAAGGCCAGGAAAGTAACATAAATGAATGCATATCAGACATGAGACAGTAAGAAATGACAAACACCAAGGATAAACCAAAAAGCAAATGTCTATCTGCAGAAATCTAAATATATAAATCTAAAATATAGAGTAGGCCAGGCATATAGGGCATGCCTTTAATCTAATCCCAGCACTCGGGAGACAGAGGCAGGCGGATCTCTGTGAGTTCCAGGTCAGTCAGAGCTGTAACACAGAGAAGCCCTGTCTCAAAATACTAAACAAACAAAAAAAACCAAAATACACACACACACACACACACACACACACACACACGGTAAAACATTAATGACATACTACGGCCCATGAACCATCTCATCGTATCTACTCTAAATTAATTAACACAAATACAAAGATTTCATTATCAGGATTATATACATAAAAAAAACCATACTTTTGCATTTCACCATCAGAAATAAAAAACTATCATTTTTCAGAGCAATATAATGATACGCAGATGTAAAACTCAAAAGTATAGCTTACAAGCTATTTTAAGATTTCAAAATTATTTCAGTGCATATATATAAGAAGATATTTTATAGAACTGCTTATAATTTAAATGTAATCTAGATGTCTATATTTATATTTTCTATAAATATATATAAGCATCACTTAAATTTATATTTTCTATTCCTATTTCTATCATAGTCTTAACTTTTTTTTTGGTTTTTTGAAACAGGGTTTCTCTGTGTAACAGTCCTGGCAGTCCTGGAACTCACTTTGTAGACCAGGCTGGCCGCAAACTCACTGAAATCCCCCTGCTTCTGCCTCCCAAGTTGTAACCACTTTATGGTTTGTCTTTCATAGGTTCAAATGCTAAAGCTTAATTCCCAATGTAGTGTTGAAAATGTGGGGCTCAGTGGAAGGTAATTAGATCAGGGGTCTCCATAAATAATGAATGCATGTCAAGGGAACTGGTCAGGTCTCTTGAGACTGTATTAAAGCCTTGAATGTCTCAAATAGCTCAGCAAGCCTCAAACTAGCTATGTAGCCAAGGGTGGGCTTAAAGTCCTGACCCTCCTACTTCTACCCACCCAGTGATGGTGTGTGCCACCACACCCAGGAAGCATGGCTGTTACAAAGCAATTTCAGCAGTCTCCACTAGCATTCTTCAATAATCAGATGGTCACTTCATTTTGCTCAGAACTCCCAGTTTGCTGCCATACTCAATTAAAATCCATAGGTTTTTATCTATGAATCTTTGGTTTTGTTTGAAATAGTCTTAGTATGTAGCCAAAGATCCTCAAACTCAACAGCAAACCCAGGTCCTCTGCAAGAGCAGGCAGTACTCAATCTCTGAGATATGTCTTCGGCTCTACCAACCCTGAACAGTAAATCTGTTCGGCGTAGGCCTACCTGCATTGCTGCATCACCTATTGCACGCCGGATTTCCCGTAGAGTTTGGTATCGTTCCAATAAGTGATCACCACAGATGATATCTACCTACGGAAAACAACGGGTATCAGACCACTTTCTGCTTCAAAACACACAAGGGGGGAGGGATTATCATGGCTACTTCAAGATTTCTTTTATAGTAGACTTTTTTAAAAATCAGTTTTCTTTATGTGCACCCTTGCTCACAGAGCCCAGGAAATTTTTGGCAGGTGTCCTCTATCACTCTCCAACTTTCTTCCACTGGACCGGTCAGGCTGGATGGCTAATGTCCCCAGGCCAGTACTACAAACATGCACTGTCAGGCCTGGCTTTTGCTCAGGATCTGTATCCAGATCCTTATGTCTGGTTGGCAAACACTTCTGATAAAACAGTCTCAAGGAAAGTTTTGAAGCTGGCAGGGTAGCATATGACAGTGGTCCCCACTTAGAGGGCTTAAGCAAAATGATCAAGAGTTGGAAGCTAGATTGGGCAATTCTGCAAGATTATGTCTTAAAAACTGAGGGGCTAGAAAGATGGCTCTGTGGTTGAGTTCTTGCTGCTTGCTCTTGCAGCGTATCTGGGATTTTTCATTTTTTAAGACAGGGTTTCTCTCTGTAGCTCTGGCTGTCCTGGAACTCTCTCCAGGAACAATAATGGGCAATATGCATATATATGGTACAAATACATGTGGGAAAAACATTCATACACATTTTTTAAGATATCTAAATTTTTAAGTAAATGAAAATAAAATTTTGAAAAAGACAGATTATGGCACATACCAGCAATCCCAGGACACAAATTGAAGCAGAAATACTGCCACAAGCTCAAGGTCAGTCTAAACCGTGGTGATATTTTGTTTATGATCTAATAAATTTGGCCTGAAGATCAGAATACAGATCTAAGCCACTAGTTAGGCACGCGCGCACACACACACACACACACACACACACACACTAAGCTACTAGTTAGCCATAGAGGGCAGGCAGTGGAGGCCACACCTTTATTCCCAGCACTCAGGAGACAGAGGCAGATGGAGCTCTGAGTTCAAGACCACTCTGGGATACTTGAGAGTGAATTAGTCTAAAAGACAACCAGAGCTCACACTTTTTATCCCAGCACTTGGGATGACACACCTTTAATCCCAGAACTAGAGAGGAATGTAAGGCAGGAGCTCAGTGCAGTTTCAAATCATGCTGAAGATTGGATCCCCACCCTTCACCCCATATGACAAGAACTCTCTAGTGACTGGTTTCTTTGCTTTTCTAATCTTCAGTTTGGACCCCAATATGTGTCTCTGCATTTTTATTATTCATACTACACTAAACTACATGTGGAGACTCTATCTCAAAAAACAAACAAACCAGCCAATTGTTGTAGTGCACACCTTTAATCCCAACACCTAAGGAGGCAGAGGCAGCTGGATCTCTGAGTTCAAGCCATACATTAAATCACAATGAGATCCTGTCTCAGAACAAAACAAGCAAGCTTGACAGCGCTGACACACACCTTTAGTCCCAGCACTTGGGAGGCAAAGGCAGGCAGATCTCTTTGAGTTTGAGACCAGCCCGGTCTACACAGCTAGTTTCAGAACAGCTAGGGCTGTTACACACAGACATCCTGTCTCAAAATGCAAACAAAAAAAGCTGTTAGAAAGACGGTTCAGCAGTTAAGAGCACTGGCTCCATTTCTTACTGCCATTGATGACCATCTCTTGATTTCAGGAAAAACTGAAGCTGTGGGAAATACTAATAGATTGCTGGGGCCTCAATTACAACTCTTGTGCAGTTGGTAGTAGAACAAGAGATTAGTTAGTTCCTGCTTTCCATCAGCAGACTCCCTTGCAGGTGTAACAGGGAAACTCAAATATCTAGAAAAATGAAATACTTAATATAGACTCTATTAGCTTTTTAAGGATGAAAAAAATACCTCCTGCTTATGTATTTACATGTTGTAAGTTAGAAAACATCAAACTTTGTATGCTACTAATTTAAAATGTCCTCAAAATTCTAGTTATGGGTCAACTGAAAATGTATCTTTAGATAGCTTTGCTTTTTTTTTTAACTACCATGCATACTTTGATAGAATATTAGTATCTAGACTGACTGCATGTTGTTGACCTGATCCATATACTATAATTAGGAAGTGATATCCAGGTGGCAGGTTCCAGCATGTCTATTGTTCCTTCTGTGACTAAATTTTGATCAGAGACAAATTCCTTTTGTAGATCAGGCTGAGATCTGCCTACCTCTGTCTCTCAGGTGCTGGTTTAAAAACGTACACCACCATGCCCAGCCTTTTGACCAATATTTTAGATTTGAGAGTGTTTTGCTTCTCCACGGAGAAACTCTGTCTCGGGTGGGGGGATAATTTTGCTTGTGTGTATGTATGTGTACTGTGTGTATGCATGGTGCCCCTAGATGTCAAAAAAGGGCATTGGATCCCAGAGAACTGAAGTTAAGACTGTTTTGAGCTTTCATGTGGATGCTGGGAACTGAATCCCGGATCTCTATAACAGTCGCAATGCTTACCACTGAGCCATCTTTCTAGGCCCCCTATTTATTATTCTTATTGATAAAAATCATCTATAATTTGTGCAACATGTACAAGAATGTTTTGAAATGTATACACTGTGAAATGACTAACAACAGTTTTTCATACTCTTTTCTTTCTTTCTCCCTTTCTTTCTTTCTCCCTTTCTTTCTTTCTTCCTTTCTTTCTTGCGCGTGTGTGTGTTTTGTTTTGTTTTTTGAAACAAGTTTCTCTGTGTAGCCCCAGCTGCCTGGAACTCACTTTGTAGACTAGCTGGCCTTAAACTTAGAGATCTACCTGCCTCTGCCTCTGTCTCCCCAGTGCTGGGATTAAAAGTGTGCACCACCATGCCTGGCAAAAAATATTTTGACCATTATTTTTATTTTATGTGTATGGGTGTTCTTGCCTGAATGTTTATCTGTGAAACACATTTATGCAGTGCCTGTGGAGGCCAGAAGGTGTTGGCTCCCTTGAAGTCTTAGTTAGGGTTCCTATTGCTGTGAAGAGATACCATGACCAGGACAACTCATACAAGAAAAATATTTTGACTACATCTGGAATTAAGTTAACACCCAAGCAGCTAGGCATGAGTGTAAAGAAATCCATTCAGATCATATCTTCTCTCCCTACCTCTCCCTCTCTTTCTGTTTTGCTTTAGGAGACAAGGTTTCTGCAGAACAGTTCTGGCTGTCCTGGAACTCACAGAGATCCACCTGCCTCTGCCTCCTGAATGCTGGGATCAAAGGTGTGCGCCATCACCCTAAATCTGGGCTACACCTCCTGGTGGCAGACTCTCTCACTGGCAAGTTCACCTACCCTGCCACTGAGGTGTTACTTGCTGGTATTAAAACACAGACTGAAGACCAGCTGTCTTAGCCTCATGGACTGGACTACCATATTCTTGACTTTTGCATCAGGAGACAGCCATTGTTGGACTAGTTGGACCACAGCCTGTAAACCATTCTAATAAATCTCTCTTTAATGTGTGATATTTATATATGTGTGTATTAAACATACATGTGTATTATACATATGTGTGTTATATATATAAACACACACACATATATATACATACACATGTATATTGTACATATTTAATACATATATTGTTTTGAATGTTCATTCTATCTGTTTTGTTCCTCTGGAGAACCAAGACTAATATAGAGGGTAAATCAGATGTCACTTTGAAGCTGGAAATCACATTGTATCAATATTCCATTAACAGTCATAGCATCTACATCATAAAAAAGTCACTATAAGATTCTAGAAACAATTCTTCAATATGTCAAAGGTAGTCTTGCAACCTCACCTTTCCTTTTACATACATGTACTGTACCTGACAAGCTGGATCAAGACCCATTTTTCTTCTAAGAAATTTCTCTACATGCCCAATAGTTGCTTCTCCTGAAACACGCACAAACTTCTTTTCCAAAGGCTACAAAAAGATAACACTTTCAGATTATGTAAGTAATACATACATGAAATTACAAACTTTAAAGCAAATTTTAAAGCAAAGATTTAGAGTAAGTAGGCTATTAAAAATTAAAAACTGCTATAAATGAGTCAATTTGTAATTCAAAGAAAAAAATAGAAATTCTGCAAATTTTTATAATAGGCCAACAAAAATTTTCTGTAGAAAGCTTGATGGTTTATTTTGGAAGTTCATGAAAAACAAGGAAATCAGGTATACCGTTACATGCCTAAAACCCTAACATTTGAGAAGTGATCTTGAGCAGCATGAGCTGTGGTTGGCATCCAATTGCAAATATAAAGACATACACACATCCCAAAACAAAAATCCAGGCATTGCAATGCCGGCCTGTAGCTCCAGCTACTTCGGAGAAGACACGGAGGATCGCTTAAGTATTAATTATACTGCAAGGGAGTGCATGCCTGGGTTCCAGCTACTTGACTTGAGTCTAACAGCTGAGACAGCCTGGACAACATAGTGAGAAAACATTTCCCAGTACTCTAGAAGCTGAGGCAGGGAAACCTAAAGGCAACCTAAGCTACAGGCCTATCTTAAAAAAGAAGAAAAGGGGGGAGTGGGTTTCTTTTTAAAATTTAAAGTGAGACGAAATCTAGACAGAGGTAGCTGGAATTACAGGCAGTTGTGAGCCACTCAATGTGGGTGCTGGGAACCAAACTCAGCTCCTTTGCAGGAGCAGTGCAGGCTCTTAACTGCTGAGCCTTCTCTCCTGCCCCTTGCTGACATCTTCTAAAATACTCTGTTCCAGATTCCCCAAAGGCATCTCCAGTAAAACGACAGTGACCTAAGATTCTAGGTACATCTCAGCCTCACAGACTGATCACTCCATGGTGAGAACATCTTTAGCTAGGAACAATCATCAAAGAGAACTGAACTATCCCCTCAAACAATAAGAATTTCGTCTCTTAATCAGCTTCAAGAGCCAGAACTAAGATAACCCATCAGACCACAAATTGACCAAAAGATTGTGTGTGTGTGTGTGTGTGTGTGTATATATATATATATATACATACACACACACACACACTTTTATACTTGTTGCCTCCTGCCCCAAATCTTCTGTTTAAACCTAAAGTTGCTAGGCATGGTGACTTACACATATAACCCAGACACTCAGAGATGAAGGCAGGCAGACTGTCATGAATTTAAGGCCAGACTGGGCTACATGAGTTCTAGGTTAGCCTGGGCTACAGAATGAGAACCTATCTCAAAACACACACACACACAAAAAAAAAAACACCACCATAAAAAGCCAAGCCAGTGACCTGAAGACAATGAGTCACGGAACCTCCCTTTTCCTGATGTGGCAATATTGGTTAAACCTTTTAATGCTTTTCAGCAATACAGGGTTTCAGACAGGGTTTCATGTTATCCAGAGTTGCCTTCACTTGATATGCACCTCACTGTTTATGGAGTGCTGGGAACTTAACCCCAGGCTTCATGCATTCTAGGCAAATTTAAGTATCGTATCAACTAAAACTCTATCCCCAGCCCCAACTAGTCATCTCTTTAAACATCAAATTGGCCAGATAACTGAGCCTTGTGTGTTGGGACTCATACAGCTAAGGGACTTCCCTTAAAACTTAGTATACCAATGCCAGAGACAAACAAAACAACCCAGGCTTTTCTTAATGAAATTAACAATGTCTGCATCACAGAGTTTTACTCTCTAGGGTCTCCCTCCAGCTTGCTACAAATCTCAATAACTAACAAAGTATGATACAAAGTAGTTCATTCTTACCTCAAATCTCAGTGAATGCTTGAAGTGACAAGTTAAGGCAGGTTAACTTCAGCCAAAAATGTTAAATATAAAAATTTAAATTCATGTTAAACTCTAAGCACCAACTACACAAAACACTTTGGATTTTTTTTCCTCTTTTGAGACCAGTCTTACTACAATAGCCCAGGCTGGCTTCAAATTTTGGACCCTCTTGCTGCAGTCTTCAGAGTGGCAGGAAAACAAGCTTATATCACACCTGACTCTTACAAATTTTTAAAATGACCACACTAAAGTCAGGCCTGGTGGTACATGCTTGTAATCCTAGCACTTGGGAGGTCAAGAAGCCAAAGACATCTTTGGCTGCATAACAAGTTCAAGGGCAGCATGGGCTACATAAAACCTGTCTCAAAAACCTAAAAAAAAAAATAATGAATTACCAATCAACATGGCATATGGTTTATAAATTACTTATTTTCCTTATATTCTGAATCAGTAAGAAATCCCTGCTTAATGTCTCTTACCCTGAGAAACTAGTATAACATTACTGCTGAATTTCAATAACTCACTAAACATTTGTATTTAATTGAAGATTATCTCTACTTGGTTGCTAATCTGATTCAGAATTTATATCTATAAAATCTCCTTATAAAGTAAACAAAAAATGCAATACCTTAAAATGTCCTGTATCTTCATTAGCACTGAAAAATAAAGGAAAAGTTAATCAATATTTAATACTTTAAATTATATGCTTAATCATAAAAAAAGTAACTGAACAATATAAACTTTCATAGGCAGCAATTCATTTAACATGAAAGAAAAATATTTCCCCTGTTGGGCGTTGATGGTGCACACCTTTAATCCCAGCAGAGATAGGTGAATCTTTGTGAGTTTGAGGCCAGCCTGGTCTACAGAGCTAGTTCCAGGACAGGCTCCAAAAGCAATACAGAGAAACCCTGCCTCGAGAAAAAAAAAAAACAAATTTTTTTTTTCTTTTTTGAGACAGGACTCCTCTCTCTGTCCAGGCCTTGGCTGTCCGGCTGTCCTTGAACTCACTCTGTAGACCAGGCTGGCATCAAACTCCCATCCAAGTATTAACCAGGCCCAATCCTGCTTAGCTTCCGAGATCAGAAGAGATCGGGCACGTTCAGGGTGGTATGGCCGTCGACTGGCATCAAACTCAAAGATCCACCTGCCTGTGCCTGTGCCTCCCGAGTGCTGGGGTTAAAGGCGTGCACCACAGGAGCAGCTAAAGAGCATGTTTCCTCTATCTACTCACAGTGATGCTCCTGCTGCAGTGCTGCCCCTGTGAAGGTCAGTCTCTGCTGTCATGTGAGTTCCTGCCATCTCTCAAGTGGACAGTTCTGAGATTATGTTTAGACGGGGGGCTCATGTAGCTCAGGCTGGCCTGAGACTCATTATGTCGTTGAGGCTGGTCCTGAATCCCTGACTCTCCCTACTTCCCTGTGCTACAATGAGGTTTTCATAGCTCTGTGCTACCACACCCATATTTTTCTTTTTTTAATTTAAATTTGAAACAAGGTTGTTTTACATGTCAATCCAATTCCCTCGCCCTCCTATCCCCCCCACATCACCCCCACCAAACCCTAGCCTATCCCCTTTCTGCTCCCTAGGGCCAGTGAGGCCTTCCATGGAGATCATCAAAGTTTGTCATATGATTTGGGGGAGGGCCTAGGCTGAAGACATCTCCCCCATGTGTCTAGGCTGAAGAATCCCTCTATCTAAGATGGGTTCCCAAAGTCCATTTGTACACTAGGGATAAATACGGATTTTTTTTTTTTTTTTTTTTTTAAAGGGACAGGTTAAGACCAAGTCTCTGGGTAGTCTGGTTATCCTTGACTTCAGATGTAGACCAGGTTGGCCTCAAACTCACAGAATTCTGCCAGTCTCTGCCTGTCCAGAGCCATGATCAAAGACATGCACACTAGTATGCCCAGCCTTTTATTTATACCTAAACCTTTGGGAAGAAATACAGTTGTCACTTCTGCCACCTAGTGGTAAAACAACTGCAGTTTAATACAGTATTTTAAACTTTCCTGAGGGAGGCAGTATTTTATGAGACACTATATAGCCCTGGCAGGCCAGTAATTCAAGGATACACCTGCCTCTGCCTCCCTAAATGCTGGGATTAAAGGCAAGTGCCACTTTGCCCAATCTAATTTAAAGGCTTCTGGACAATAAACAAAAAGTACAGTTTTGTTCCTTCCTTAGTTTTGTTGTATTAGTAATGTTTTGGTCAGGTTTTCCTTTTGGGAGAATGGGGGAGCAAAAGCAGAGATGCTATACAGTTCAGGCTAGCTTTGAATGCAATGATTCTCCCATCAAGTTGGGACTGTGTGTGCTACTGTGAGGTAAGGATACCAGTGGTTACTGTGTTAACTTTTTAAACATTTTTCTAAATCTAAGAGGAGAGTGGATCTCTGTGAGTTCAAGACTCCCTGGTCTACAGAGTGAGTTCCAGGACAGGCTCCAAAACTACAGAGAAATTCCTGTTTTGAACCCCAACCCCTAAAAAAGGAGAGGGAGAGAGGAAGAAAGGGAGGGAATTATTTGGGATTGGAGATCTCTCAGCAGCTAGAAAATACTTGCTGTCCTTGCAGATGATTCCAGGTTTGGTTCCCAGCACCCTCACAGCAGCTCACAAGTGTTTAACAAGGGATCCAACACCCTTCTCTGATCTCCCCGGACACCAGGTATTTACACGGTACACATAAGCAAGCAAAACATTCACATACATAAAATAAATCTAAAAACAAAAGATGTATTTAATATGTGTCCTGAGTGTATGCATGTGCACCACACGCCTGCAGGTGCCTGAGAAGGCCAGAAGAGAGTATAGATCTGTTGCAGGATAGTTGATGACACCATGAACGAGACTGTTATTTACTGGAAAAACCTGTTCCTAGTTGTGGTGTGGTTCAGCCCTATCACACACCTTTAATCCAAGAGCTTTCCACTTGAATATTATAAACAGGAATACATAAAGTCAACCATAGGTCAAAGAGGAGGAGCAAGCAACCAGCTGACAGGAAGGAACATAAGATGATTAAGAAAAAAACAGAGGGAATCAGAAGAACAGATAAGGAGAAAGGACAGATGCTGTTTAAGAAGGCTGCTTTGATACTTCAGGAAAAGAGAGGCTTCTGAGATGACAGTGGAGGAAGAAGGTCAGCTGGGTGCTTTCTCTGCTTCTGAGCTAGCAGGCTTTCACCCCAGCATCTGGCTCCCAAGTCTTTATTGGTAAAATCCAACGATTGAGATTTTGTTAAAAACAACACAGATCCTCTCAAGCTGGAGTTACAGACAACTGTGAGCCATGTGACAAGACTGGGGACTGTCCTCTACAAAAACAGCAAATGCTCTTAACCACTGAGCCCCAAAAGGTAATTTACAAGCCAAGCATAGTGGTTTACAAACTGCAAACCAAACACCAAAGGCCTGCTTGAGTTCAGAGCTAGCCTAGGCTACAATGTAAAACCTTTCTCAAAATGTCACAAATAAGCAAACAGTAGATTTTTTAAAGTTACTCACCCAATGAACTCAAGTAATAAGGACATATCAAGCTCAGGTGGAATACGGAACACCGACTCTAGGACTTTCTTAGTTTTTCCTTTGCTTGAAGGGACTGGCTGGGGAGCAGCTATTTGAAACAGAAAGATGATGTAGCACTGAAATTTTAACAAATGGAGATTTTTTAAAAAACTTTAATTTTTTGAGGCAGAGTTTTTCTCTGTGGTTTTGGAGGCTGTCCTGGAACTTGCTCTGTAGACTAGGCTGGCCTCGAACTCACAGAGATCCAGTGCTGGGATTAAAGGCATGTGCCACCAACACCTGACCAAATTGAGATCTTTAACGGATAAATTATACAAGTATTACACTATGTTGACTAAATTATTATAAAGCCCTGATCAAATTTCCTTTTCCTTAATAACATCAGTTAATCTGTCAAAAAAAAAAAAAAAAAAAAAAAAAAAAATCAGTGATTTCAAGGTGGAAAAACTGGCTCAGTTGGTAAAGGTGCTTGCTGCCAAGCCTCTGGGCCTCACCCCTAGAACCCATATGGTGAGGCACTAATTTCTGCAGGTGGGTATCCATGCAAGTGCAAGCACACGTGTGCATACATACACATGCATACTCTCTCTCAATAACATAAATGTGAAAAAGTAAAAAGTGCCACAGAGTTCATTAAAACAGTAACAACACTTACAGGTAACTATAAATACCATGTATGATGCTCATGTTTAGCACATTACATACATTACCATTTAATCCTTACAAATGTACTACATCTACACTTTTTTAAAAACTGGTACAATTTGCCTAAGGCCACCAAGTAACAGAAGAACCAGGATTTAAACCCAATCTACCCGACTTCCATATTGTCAGTAACACCATAAAAGTAAGTTACTATGTGCCTAGCATTGTTTAAAAGTGCTGGTATTAATCAGTGTTTAATGAAGTATCATATTCATCCTTGTTTTATAGATGTTTGTTACTGATATTATTTCCTAATAAAAGTTGCAGTGCTAGGAACAAATTCACAAATATCTAGCTCCTGAGTGTCTGTGATTCCCTCCAGAAAGTGTGTCACCAGGTGGTGGTGGTGGCACACACCTTTAATCCCAGCACTCGGGAGGCAGAGGCAAGTGGATCTCTGTGACTTTGAGGCCAGCCTGGTCTAGAGTGAACTGACAGGAATCCTGTCTCGAAAAAGAACAAAGTGTCTCATTATGTTGCCCAGGCTGGCCTTAAACTCATAGCAATCCTGATTCAGGTTCCTAAGTGCATGCACCACTATACCCAATCCTCTTACTTCTTAAAAACTGTTAGTTGTAAAGTTATACTGCAGCATTACCTTCAAAATATTTCTCTTTGATGATATACCTTGCTATTTCAAAAAAGCACCCATGATGGCTAGTATAAATTTTCAACTTGACACAATCTAAAATTTCCTGGGAAGACTCTTGCTGGGGGATTGTCTGTATCAGGCTGGCCTATGAACATGCCTGTGAGGAATTTTTAAATTATGTTATTCTACCTGGGAAGACCCCGCCTAAAAGTGGCCAGTGCCATTCCCTGGGTTTGAGCCTTGGACTATATAAAACAGAAAGTGAGCTGAGTGGTAGGCATGTGTGCTTGCATGGATTACTCTCTGCTCTTGCGTGTGAGCATGTTGTGACTATCAACTCCTGGTTCTTCATTTCCCTGCAAAGATGTGACGTAGTCTGGTCTACAGACATACTTTATCAAGTGACAGAAAGGGAATGAGGACAGCACTTCAAGGACACAGTTTAACTCTTCAGTCTATGAATACATTATAATACACATCCAAACTTACCAGGTTTGGGTACTTCCAGACCTCTTTCTTTATAGAAATCATGCATTTGCTTTTTTTCTCCTAAAAAAATGATAAAACACAGACTAAATTACATATAAAATGTAACTAGCAGAGTCAGAAACTTTGGGATTCATAACTATGTAATAAAAGAAACTTACTTTCCTCTAGATTCACCACTAATTTGTATACTATGTCTTGTAACTGTCGGTCCAACCTAATCAAAGAAAAGGTAGAGAATATCCAGAAAAAGTAAATCCAGAAAAGTAAATTTCAGTAAAAAGTCAATTTGCTGTCTTCCCTCAGGATCGGATGTTTCCTTAAAAATTTACTACTACTTTTTGGTTTTTCAAGACAGGGTTTCTCTGTGTAGCCCTAGCTGTCCTAGAACTTGCTATGTAGACCAGACTGGCCTCGATAGGAACTCATAGAGTGCTGGGATTAAAGGTGTGTGCCACCATGCCTGTCTAGGAGCAGACATATTGATTCTTGATTCATGAAAGTGAGGCAGTACTCACAGTGCCTACTATACTTCATCTCAGAAAACCAAGGAAGCATATTTAGTTTTAAGTATTCGATAGATTACTGAATGGTTCATTAACTGTCCTCAGTAAGACTATGCAATTGAGAATGGAGAATATATTTTTTTAATGATTTTTATTTTATGTGTACTGGTGTTTTGTATGTATGTGGATGCTGAGAATTCAACCTGGGTCTTCTGGAAGAACTGCCAGTGCTCTTAACCACTGAGCCATCTCTCTAGCCCTGCCCCCTCCTTTCAGAGACTCCATTTTAACTCTTGTATACCAACTCATCTGGAGAGATGGTTAAGAACACAGGCTACTCTTCCAGAGGACCCAGGTTCTATTCTTAGAACCCACATGGCAGCTTATAACCATCTGTAATTCGAGTTCCAGGTGATCCACTGCCCTCTTCTGACCTCGGAGGGCTCCAAGGACACATGCGGTACACAGGTACAAAAAGAAAAAGTCAAGTCATTGAAGCCAGGAGCAGTGGCACAATCCTTTACTTGGAAGGCAGCACAGCACAGGAAATCTGAGTTTAAGACCAGCCTGGTCTGCACGCTGAGTTACAGCAAAGCCACAGCTACACAGAGAAACCCTGTCTGGAACTCACCCCTCTTCTCAAAGGAAGCAGCAAGAAATGAAAGCTCAGTGAGTGTGCTATAACGATCTAGCTTGACTAGTAAGGCTAGTTGTTTCAGGAACTCTACAAACCATCTAAAAGCTGCAGAGCACTCCCAGGCTAACCTGAAGGATTAAGCTATACCCCAAACCCTGTGTCTGGTTTCATTTCTTCCCCTTCCTTTCACTAACTGCCATATGATCTCAGCGCCTGGCCCACAGTGAGTGCAAGTCCCTTTCTTCTAACTTGGACAGAGTTCAATTTATTCCCAACTACACAATGTCAAGATTTCAGGAAAAAACAAAACAAAAAAGCAAACACTCAAAAGAATTATTTTAAAGGTGAATAAACTTTAAATGCATATATTCTTACCTTATATTATAAAGAGGCTGTGTCTGGTGGACAACGATGCTGCATTTTGGGCATCTGTTGCTATAGTAAAAATGTCTTACTATGCAACTTTTACAAACTATTGGAAGAGAAAATGTTTGATTTAGGATGCTTTAAAGATACTTCAAATTTGTAAAATACTATTCAGAAAGGTGAACTGCATGCTTACAGGTGTGAAGACATTCTGTGATGGTGGTAGCATCTATTAAGTAACCTTTGCAAATGGAACACATGATGTATGGGGTTAGTTCAGCAAGGTTAAGCAGGCGCTGTAAACACAATGGTAACAAGTTTTAGAATACAAGCCTTTGCTCTCTCAAATCCATAAACCAGTTGTGTCATAGTCTTGTATTATAACCCTGCTTACTCCAGTCAGCTGGGACAGAAGGCACAGGAGAGGAGTTAAAGTCCAGGCCAAGGCTACACTGCAAGGCCTCATTTCAAAACAAATTAAACCATAATCTCGAGATTTCATTATAAGCAATGCAATTTAATTGCACCTCCAACCCTTCATAATACCCAATAAAATAAAGCACTGTTTCTAAGAGATCCCAAGTCTCTGGCATATACTTTACAGTGATAGTGAAGGGCATGTGCTCTTGTTGTTTTACAAAAAGCCCCTAGATCAGCCTGGACTACCCACATTACCAAGGACGACTCTGAACTTCCCGGATGTTGGGAATAATATTACAACAGGCGCCGGCTACCTTGTCCAGTGTAAGCGGTGCCTCCCGCAGGCCAGGCAAAAACACTACACTACTCCCCATCCCTGGGATGCATTTCTCTACACATTAGCTACAAAAAAATGGGCCAATTATACCACCACGTTACAAAAACAAAACCCAAATCCTCTCCACTATTAGTGAGGGGCTTATCACCCTCTCAACACCCTGCTGAAAATGACTACGTCCCCGTCCGACTTGCAGACTCGAGGCGGATAGGCTCACGGTAGTCGCCTAACCCCTCCGCGTCACGCGGACGTCTTTACAGAATGAACAAGAGGGGCCCAGAATGCCCTAGGTGATCTGCCGGGACCTCGCAAAACAAATCAGGCAGGAGAGAGGCCACGCCTGGGTGGGCGGGGATGGAGGTCTGCACAAGCGCCACGAGCCGCAGCGACCGTCGCAAGGGCAGGTCCGCGCGAGTCCCGCTCCGTCCCGGAGGCCGCTCGGGGGCAGCCAGGTCGGGAAGGGCCGATACCTCCTCCTCGTCCTCCGAGTCCGGCCGCCCCGACTCCAGCCGCAGCGAGAAGTGGCTCATCTCTTCCTCCTCCTCCTCTTCCTCCTCCATCTCCTCGTCCTCTTCCAACTCCTCATCGTAGTCCTCGAAGCGGCCTCTCATGCGGCCCAGGCTGCGCTCGGGCTCCAGCTCGGGCGGCCGGGAGCGGGAGCAGCCGGGCGCGCCCGCCTCGGGCAGGGACGCCGGGCCCTCCTCGCCGGCCGCGGGCGCCGGGGTGAGGGCGGGCGGAGAGATGGGAGGCGGCGGCGGAGGCGGCGGCATGGCACAGGCTCGCTTGGCCTCGGAGGCGCGAGAGCTTTCCGTGGCGTCCGTCTCGGCCTCCTCCATGGCGGGGGTCAGAAACCGAGCGAGGTGAGCGCGAGGCGAGGCCAGGAGAGCACGAGCCACAACCCCCCCCTCGTCCCAGTGCGCAGGCGCAGGCGCTCTGCAGGGGCCGCTGGGAAATGTGGTTTACCTAGAGACAGCCTAGGTGAGGCGGAGCTGCCCAGGTGGGGGCGGGGCTTGCGGGCCGCGCCTTAAAGGAAGCTCACCCAATTTTCCTGGTCTGAGGCTTGCCTTGCTTGCACTTTTCGAAACGACCAAAGTGCTACAGTTTCAGTATTTTACTCGCGTCAGTTTATCCATAGGGAATTGAACTCTAGGTGCCATGTGGTGTTGAGTTAGGAATGATGATTTCATTTTGAGTACTATTTACATTTTTCCTGCCCTTCCGTGGCTAATGGCATCCATGCAAGCTAAGTCTACTTAGTGAGACCTTGTCTCAAAAAGCCGAAAAAGTTGATGGCTCAGCAGGTAAAGCAGTTTGCCGCCAAGCGTAAGGACCTGAGTTCAATACCCAGTATTCACGTGGTAGGAGAAAACCGACTTCCACTCGTGCCAAGGCTCCTGTGTGCCCCCAACACAATAAATAATAGAAAAAAACGCCATTGTAGAAGTTTATAAGAACCATACAAAATCCAATTGAAGGCAGTGGATGAATATGAAAAAGAAATGACTGGAGCCAAAGATATAGCTTAAAGATAGAGTGGAGGTCAGGGCTCATGTCTAACACCAAAAAAGTGACCCCCAATAGCCAAAAAAAAAAAAAAATCTGAAAGATGAGAATAAGTTAGAAGACAGATTCGATAATAGCCACCTATAGCCTGGCACACACCTTTAATCCCAGCACTCAGGAGGCATAGGCAGGCGGATATGTGTTCAAGGCCAGCCTGGTCTATAGAGCTAGTCCCAAGACAGGCTCTAAAACCACAGATAATCCCTATCTCAGAGAAGAAGAAAAAAAAAAAGCCACATATGCCAACCGTGGTGACATGTTTATTAACTGCAGCATTCAGGAGGCTGGGATGGGCAGAATGCCTCTTAGAGTCTAGGAATTTGAGGCCCGCCTGGACAGCGTTTCAACAACCCTGTCTCAAAAGGGGAAAAAGGGTGACCGTCTCAAGACCTTACACACCTTTAAGGATGTGAACCACTGTCCCTGGAGTTTTGAACACTATTGAGACTATTGAGATGTGGGCATGTCTTGAGCTGGAGAGACAGCTCAGTGGTTAAGAGCATGGCTGCTCTTGCACCGGATCCTGCTTTGGTTCCCAGCACCCACACGGTAGCTCACAACCATCTGTGCCTCTTAATTCCAGAGGATCTGATGCCCTCTTCTATCCTCTCCAGGCATCAGGCATGTACACAGTGCACATACACATACGCAAACAAAACATGCCTACACATAAAAAATAAAAGTTTTTTGGGTTTTTTTTTTTTGTTGTTGTTTTTTGTTTTTTAAGTTTGGAAGCTTCCTAACTAAACATGTTTGTCATTATGAGATAGCCTAAGCACCTGTGGGCACTAGAGGAAGTATGTTGTGGTTTGAATATGTAATGTCCCTTTCAAGTTTGTGTTTGACTTTGGTCCTCAGTTGGTGGCCTTGCTGGGGAGTTATGGAAACTTGGGCTTGTGTGGCGCAGCTAGCAGAAGCAGAAGCTTATTTGAAAGATATCCACTTCAGAGCCTGGGTTGAGCTCTCTGCTTCCTGGTCCAACTGGCTCATGAGGAATTAGGTTACACATTCCTGACCCCACAGAGATGCTCCACCACAAACTATAGAAATCTTCTGAAGCCATGAACCAAAGTAAATCCTTTCTTCTTAGAAAAAAGGAGCAAAAAAACTAACAAAACATAAAATTGCCACATACATCAATTGGAATAAAATTGAGAAGTCAGAATCTTCACATTTAAGTTGTGAGACCCTGGGCAGAGGCGCCAAGATAAAGAGGGGAAGAAGTCTTTTCTTTTCAGTTTCTGTGGCCTTTCTCGATTGTGTCTGTGTCTCTGTGCATAGGTGTAAATGCACGAACACTCTGGCTCTCTCCTTCCACCATGTGGGTCCCAGGGATGGAAGTCAGGTAATCAGGCTTGGCATCAACCTTTATTTTCTGAGCCATCTCACTAGCCCTGTTTTGCATTTTTATTTATTTATTTATTTATTTATTTATTTATTTATTTATTTATTTGAGGCAGGGTTTTTCTGCTAGCCTTGGCTATCCTAGAACTCACTCTGTAGACCAGACTAGCCTCAAACTCAGAGACCCGCCTGCCTTTGAATGCTGGGGTCAAAGGTGCACGTCACCACAGTCAGCCTCTGTTTTGTTTTTCTTAGGCATGGTCTTCCTCTGTAGCCCAGGCTGACCTAGAACTCACTATGTAGCATTGAACCCACAGTGATACTCTTACCTCAGCTTAAGTGCCTTGCCACTCCTGTCTCTAAATTGTAAAATGACAAGGAAAAAAGAAAAATATAGATCTTTTATGCTTTGAAGGATACTGATAAACACCACAAAGGTAAACTATAGTGATGGACACCCTCTGTTAATCACTGGACATTGTACAAACCTTTGTACTTGGCATCTGTATGTCCCATTGTTTGAGTAATCCAGAAACAGAAGAGAAAACCCAGAGAGAGATGTGAGTGCGTACGGGTAAGCGTGGTGTCTCAAATCTCCTAGGGACATACAGAAGTACTGAAGGAAAATAGTCATCTAGTGAGAAAAGTTAGGAGAGCAGAGGAAGTTGATTATTCTCTTCTGTCTTCAAGGAAATCTAGAACTATGACTGACCCTTGGTCAACCCCTGGAACTGTGGTCATTAGTGTTTGTTTTCTGTTAATGATTGACAGTTTCAATGTGTATACCTGGGGCAAGGGACCATGCTGTGCCAGTTTGTCACATCACTTTGTACAAACAGGATTTATGACATGTGTGCATCTGGTTTTACCGTTGGAGGACTGATTTTTGAGACACAGTTGTGGTTGGCTATGTAGCAAGATAGCCATTGGTTTTTTTTTTTGTTTGTTTTTACTTTTTTGAGACACGGACTTGCTATTTAGCCTTGGCTGGCTGGGAATTTACTACATAGACCAGGCTGACCTCAAACTCATAGAGATTTGTCTGTCTCTGCCTCCCAAGTGCTGGGATTAAAGGGGTGTGCCACAGCTGGCCCTGACCTGCTACTGAATCTTACATTTTCAGAGGTTTGCTAGGCTTTTGGAGGCTGTGGGACTTTTGGAATACCTTGTTCAACTCTCCTCCTCCTCGTCGCACCATGATTGTGCGTGTGACTGTGTGCATGATGTATGTGGGGTGCATTTACCAGAGAATGTGTGAGGACGATTTTATAGTTAGTTCTCCTCTTCCACCTTCATGCGGGTGCTGAGGATCAAAGTCAGATCATCTGGTGCATAACCTGCAGGCAGATACTTTACCTGCTGAGCCATCCTGGCCCCCCCTTAAATACTTCTGATTAGATTTTTTCTGGCAGTACTGGAAATTGAACACAGGGCCTTGTAAATGCTAAGCTGCTCTACCACTGAGTCACATCCCCAGACCCTGAAAAGCATTTGCAAAAGACATTTAGATGCACACCTTATACCATATACAAGATTAACTCTAAATTGATTTATGAACTAGAGAAAAAAGAAACTAGGCTGTAGAAGGAAACACGAATTCCTCTTTAACCACACTTAAAAGAAAGGCATCCTACCAGTGATTCTAAATCCAGGTGCAGTAAATATTGTTAGACCTGACTTCATGCAAATGCACACACACACACCAAACTGTAGCATGTCTCAGATAAGAGAGCCAATTCTGTAGTTTTATTGGTATATAAATATAACAGTATGTTTTACTTCTAGTACACTTGCTTTTCTTATGGTGTGTTTGTGTGTGTCCCCACCACGTGAGACCTGGGGACTGCTGTCAGATCGTTGAGTTTTTCAACAATCCTAAGCCATCTCATTGGTCCCCGTTTTGTTGTTTCTTGAGTCAGGGTCTCATTGTTTCATAGGGTGTCACAGCCCAGGCTGACCGAAACTCCCTATATAGAGCAGGCTAGGTTTAAACTTGCAAGAACCCTCCTGCCTCAGCCTCCCAAGTGCTTGAATGACAGGTGTGTGCCCACCTGATTGGCTCCATATACTTCTTGAAGGTAGACTGTAATTGGATAGTGGTAGTGGATAAGGTATGTTTTTAGTATAAGATATAGGTGGTTTGCTGCAGAGCAGAGCACACTCTAAAGAGATGTCCTGACACAAGCCAGGGTCATCTGGGGAAAGAAAACTTCAACTGAGAAAATGCTTCTGTCAGATTGGCCTGCAGGCAAGACTGATGTAGGAGGCCTAAGGTACTATGGGCAGTGCCACTCCTGGGCAGGTGGTCCCCAGCTGTATATGAAAGCAGACTGAGCAAGCCATGAGGAGCAGCCAATCAGCAGCACACACCCCTCCGTGGGCTCTACCTCAGCTTCTGCTTCCGGTTCTTTGAGTTCTTGCCCTGACTCCCCTCCATGATGGACTATAAAATGTAAGTTGACATAAACCTTTTCCTCTCCAAGTTTCTTCTGGTCATGGTGTTTTATCACAGCAATAAAAAGCAAGCTAATATTAGGAGTGAAGATGAGCAATGACCAAAGGGACCTTGCAAAGGGACCACTGGGTAGATACACATAGCAAATAGTCTTTATATTATTTCTTTTTAGAGAATTTATTTTTAATTATGTGTATGTGTGTGTGTCTGTATGTGAGTATGTGATGTGACCACAGTACTCTAGACGGCTAGAGGCCTTGGATCTCCTGAAGACAGAGTTACAGACAGTTGTGAGCTGGCCAGCATTGGTCCTGGGAACCAAACTCAGGTCCTCTGGAAGAGCAGATGTTCTTAACTGATGAGCCATCTCTCTAGCTCCCAATTTTATACAGCATTTAAAATCTTTTAAAACAAGCAGCTTTTCCTCAGGAGCAACTGCTTCTTCTTCTCTTCCTCCTCCTCTTCTCTTTTTGGGTATAAGTGATTGACAGGCCCTTTTGGATCCACTCCTCCAGAGTGTAGTGTCAGATTTCACAT